AACTCTGAAGTTCTGAAGGTATACGACGCAGTACCCGTTGGGGAAGCAGAAGAAGAGGAAGACCTCCACTCCGTTAGAAAGATCAGGTGGAAAAGGACCTGTCTTTACTTGGAATCTCCAATTGGCGCTACATTATGAAAAGAAGAAACGACCGCGTAACTCAAGAAGTAAATATACCTCAGTAATAAAAAGAACTCTATGTTTAGAAAAATTAAAGACAAAAAATTTTACAAATATTTATTTACTAGTAGAAATCGAATTCGCTACGCGGAAGAACTACAACTTCCTTTTTGAAAAATATAACACCAAAGTAATCACATAACGGATCAAGAGTTACATTGTTAGACAGATTTGAGAGGAAACGTAAGCTTCCACCAACAGCCGAAAATCATGGTCTGCGATGGAACACAAGTTCGATTTTCCCGTCGAGCGTTAACAGAAATGAGTCATTTGCGATTTTGTTATCGGTACGGGTCTCATCGCTAGCGCTAACGTCGAATTTACTTATCAGTTCGGATACAGCGACCTTGGCCTCAGACAAACCCAACTTCATGCCTTGAAAATTTGATAAACTTCAGTTTTTGATCACCTCGACTTTATAATCTCAAATTGTGCTTTAATGTATGTACTTTACCGGGACACATACGCGGTCCATCTCCGAATGGCATGAAAACACCCATCTCCCGATATTTGCGTACACCGCCCATCTCCTCTGCAAAGCGCTCAGGCCAAAAGTCCTCGGGGTTTTCAAAGAACTCGGCGTCACGATGAAAAGAGTAAGTTGAAATATAGACGCTATCACCAGGGTGTAGAGTCAGCGTAGATTCGTCAAAATTTTTCAAAGTCACTGACTCAGTGCAGAGTTTGAAAAGCGTCGGCAGCGGTGGAAAAAGACGCAGGGTTTCTATAATGTTTTAGAAAAAATTTAATAAATAACATTAAATTAAAGCATTTCTGTAATAATTTGTCACCTTGTAGACACTGTTCGAGATAGGGCAGTTCATTTAGCGCATCGAAACTGTCAGCGACATCGGCAGCGAGCAGTTCCGCTCTAAGCTTCCGTTGAACGCGTGGATTGCGCGCAAGCTGCCAACGAGATATGGAAATGCAAAGCAGATCAACAGACAGACATTTTAAAACCGCTACTTAGCAAAATCACAACTTTGTAACAACAAAAACAACAACGACAACAACAAGAAACAGCAACAAGCGAACCTCACAATCATCAATCCACTCACCAGCAACAGGCAATGCGCAATCAGCATCGCTCCCGTTTCATAGCCATCAATCAAAACTGTTGTTGTATGTCCGGCAATTTGTATGGCATTTAAGGATTTTTTCTCCCTGAGCTGCTGCAGGTGATCGATCACATCGCCGCGCCCACCGCCACCCTCGCCTGTCTGCTGCTTGGCGCGTACATCCAAAGCATCCGCGAGTAGCTGTTGAAAGAAACGATCCGCGGCGACGGGAAAGAAACGCACGGGCCGTAATTTACGCAGCCAAGGCCAAGCAGCGGTGCGTCCATAATAACGTATACATTGCAGCGATTGCAAAATAATATCTCTCGCCATGCAATGTACGGGTGAGAGCGAGGGTGCACTCGCTTTCTGCGGCACAGTGAAGGCGTTGCCTTCTATGCCCCATATGAAGTTGGACATGAACTGAGCTGTGAAGCGATTGGCCAACTGAAATGTTAAGTCAGAAATGCAGCACTTAGCAATAAAGAATTTGATAAAGTGTTTTCTATTGCAGTTAGGTCATAAATACCCACCTCTTTGGCATCTTGAGGCTGCTCACCCACGGCTGTGAGGAACTTGCAGGCTTTCTCTGCACAGTCACGCATTGCTGAGTAAAAGGAGCGAATCTGTGAGAGATAAAGTAATGAAACTTTTAGATTTAGTCGGATTCCAAACGAAGCTAGGTCCTTCTCCACTTGATCCTTCCAACGGAGTGGAGGTCTTCCTATACCTCTGCTTCCCCTGTTCGAATACTTTCAGAGCTGGAGTGTTTTCGTCCATTCGGACATCTTTGACCTAGCCAGCGTAGCCGCTGTCCTCTAATTCGCTGAACTATGTCAATGTCGTCGTATATCTCGTACAGCTCATCGTTCCATTGAATGCGATATTCGCCGTCGCCAAAGCGCAAAGGATCATAAATCTACCGCAGAACTTTTCTCTCGAAAACTCGCAACGTCGACTCATCAGTTGTTGTCATCGTCCATGCCTCTGCACTATATCGCAGGACGGGAATTATGAGTGACTTATAGAGTTTGGTTTTTGTTCGTGGAGAGAGGACTTTGCTTCTCAATTGTTGGCTAGAGTTATCCTGCGTTGGATTTTTGGAAATTTTGGAACTGCTTATTTGACGGGACCGCCGATATAAGACCAGTATAGCACATAGCTGCCATATAAATGGAACGATCGGAATTGGACATGGATTATTACCCAAGGCAGTCGAACAATTTTCGAAGAAATTGTTCCGATCGAGTCCCTTTAGCATACAAACTGAACGATCAAAAACAAATTCCTGTAGTAAATCTTTTGTATTTATGAAGGCTATAATAGCTTCGATACAACCGAAAATAACTTTGTTCTGGAATTTATTGGCTTCAAAATATATCTTTACTGTAAATTCTTTTAACACTTTCAGTTTGTCGTTTTTCAGTGCCACATTTTTATTTATTTTCCTCGACACTTCAAACAAGAAGCAGTATTTTAATATTTTTTTTTAAAGTTTGGAATACAAATTCGATCGTTCGATTAAACTACGTATCTTCAAAAATGTTTTCTTCAAAATAATACTTTTCAACTTAGCTCGATGGCGAAATGTGCTAAGCCTACCCTAAGCACACCTTAATACAATCCACCACGCCTAAGAATACTCCCATTATCTCACCGCATACGACAACATCGCCACACTCAAAATCCATTAGAATTAGCAAAAAGGACTCTATCATCGTCTCCACTTTAGGTTTTTACTTTCTTCGTCAACGATTCTGAGCGCCACATCATTCGATGATCCAGTTCGGTCGATGCCATTCAGCACGTTAATTCGATCCTAAGCGCTAATTCCGATTACTCAGCGAGCTCCTAACTGAATTGCCCAAAGTCACCACGTCATTTAATTCAATGCTTTAATTTAATGTTGCTCCTGGCTTCGTTCGATTCATTTATGCTATGTGGATCGATATCGCTTTGGACCCTTACTGCGGTTTTAATTCTGCAAGTTCTCGTACGCGTTAGTCGATCACACACACATGAAGTCATAATTTATAATTGTCTATTTATACAATCCGTAATAACTGATAATAAAACTTTGTCACATTTTCATTAAAATAATTTACGCGATTGTAATTAACGTATTAATAGCTCAGTGGTGTGTTGGGTACCTACTTAATTAATCACTCGGAAACTTTTGAGAAGTTTCGCATACATGCGTTACATACACATTTACCGATATATACAAAATCTCTTGATATGAAAAATCTTCACCTTATTTATGGTCAACGCTGGCACTAATTCCGAACGTCGAGCTTTCCACTCCTCCCCAGTGGAAACGAAAGGACTGCAGAGTCGCAGCTGCTCCACGCTTGCGTTCGTCTGAAATAAGTACATGAGTATATGTTTGCTTCTAAATTATTTGTTGATACTTTAATGACTAAATAATAAATATAAAATTCGAAATTCGAATATTCGAATTTTATTGATTAAGTGCTACTTTTTTACTTTTGTTTGTTCAAATCAGTAGGAGCATTGACTCACCCATTGGGAAGATTCGTTATCGCGAAAACTTTTAAAATGCTGCGTCAAAATTTGCAGAGCCAACTGTGGGTCGCATATAAAAAGTTTGGGCGCGCGTGCGGTAAATATGCCTACAAACTTTTGTGAGAGCCTGTAACGACTGTAAAGAAAATCTCTTCAAATATCCTGTCTTTTTTTTATTAAAATTTACAATATGAGAGTTTTATGAATTTCCAGAAATTACAGATAAATCTCGTGTAACTCCTCCAGTAAATTGCACTGTCCGGCGCTGGTCCTGGGAAGCGTGCCGACGAGCAAATACGGTTGAGGACCACACACTCCACGCTTACGCCAGTAATTGAAATGCCAACGCAGGTATACTATCAGAGTTGCGGCGACAAAGCTCGCTAAAACAAAGAACGTCAGTAAGAGCATTTTGAGCAGCACGATTCCCGGAATATGGAGAATGCGGAACGCTTTCACGAACTGCTTAATTGCAACTGATTAAACATGAGTCTAATTAATAAAGTGATAATTAGAGTTCATTGCTTTTCTTTCGAACTGATTGCGGTTAACTATATGCAATTAGTTTAGTCTGGAAATAATAAATTTTAATCGCTAGTTGCTAGTTGTTACTAAAATGTAAATAATATGGCAAATGACAATTTCTTGTTGTTGCTTTGCAAGTAAAATTAATCAGCAACTGTCTCACACTTGACTTCCGTTCAAGAAATGATACTCTGGCCTATCCTTTTAATATAATATTGCAGCATCCACTTCAACTTCATTTATTTATGTAGTACTACAGAAAGTTTTTTTTATATATTTTTTTTTATTTTTTTTTGCTATTCAAAGCTAAGCAGATCACCCAAGTTCGCTCCGTAACTATACATATATTCGGCTCTCTCTCTCTACGTTTATTCACGTAGAGCTAAACTTTAGAGCACTTAAATAAAATCACTTAATATTAATTCGAAAGAAATATTATAAATTCAATAGAAATAGTTTTAGATAATTTGAAGAATATGCACACAAATGATATTTAATAACAGACTCACGCATATGAATGACAATCACATCAATCAAAACGAGACCAAAGCAAAATTTTATTCATGATATATTATATGTACATGTTCAAGGCAATTATACTATATATAAACCACGTCTAATTCAAGGTGACCTCTTAAAACTCTATTCAATAATTTCAAACTTCAAATGGTACTTAAGAAGCTTAAAAACGTCACAGCGCCCAGTTTTGAAATGGTGCCGTTCCTAGTTACATTTGTATTGCTCGCCACTGTCGGGTTTCTGATACACAAATATCTGACATGGCACTACGATACATTCAAGAAGTTAGGCATAGTTGGTCCTGAGCCTAAAATATGGCACGGAAATTTCTCTAGCAACCAGCAAATAGCTTACGATTATGATGATATCTATAAGTACGTATAAACCCTAATATATATATATTTTTTTTTCGTTCTAGATATACATAATGGAGCACTAAAAATTCCTATCATATCAAAGCTATTCAACGTCCTTTGTTTATGTCCGGATGACATGGAAACTCTTTTCTCATCGGACTGTTTGCTCAGATAATTTGAGGACACAAAAACCTTCGGTCATAGCTCGATAGGTAGGGAGTTGACCAGAGAACCACATATAGTACTTTATCTGCGAGAGAAGGTTTCAAGGCAGGATAACAGAAGGTGCATAGCGCAAGGTCACACGATCCACAAGCGAAACCTTCAACATCTGTACGGACAGATCAAAACTGCATGACGGAGTGGGCTCTAGGATCTGGCACAGACTGGAAGGTGCAAGGAAGAATGCATCAGATCACTGCCTATGTCTGCCTTACCTAGAAGACTTCTTCGATATTTAGGAATTTCTAAGTTCAAGGGACTGGAGGAAATATCAGAACTATCCGAGATCTTCAGGAATTTCACTGTTCAAAGTGTTAGAGGAAGCATCAGAATTAGATGTCAAGTTTCGATTAAATTTCGCAAACAGAGTTGACGTCCTGCAGGACGAAAACTTTAGCTCATATTAATAAAACTCCTGCATCTGGCGTGGCAAAGGATAAAAGCCAGCCAATGTGGCCAGGTTACAAAAAAATCCAAAAAAATTCTTCGGAACTTTCACTTTCTCTCTAATAATTTTCATATTAAGGCAATTACATTAGAAACACAGATACACCAAATTCAATCCACATATTTTATTCCAGATACTACCAGATCAATTTCTTTTTTTTTTTTTTTAATTTCGTTTATGTGCTTCCTTATAAAGGACCACGTTGCTTCAAACTAAATCTTTTATATACATAACACTAAAGAAATTTATTTTTTCAGCAAATACAGGCAAAAACATCAGATTGTTGGCATGTTTGCTTACAGACAACCTCAGTTTTTAATAATAGATCCGAAATTGGCGCATGAAGTGTTAGTTACGAATTTCAAAAGCTTTCGGAACAACTTAGGGAAAAGATTCGTAAGTGAGCCCATACTTCTTCATTAAGGCTGCTATTTACACTATTAAATATTCCAATTCAAACTTATTTTAATACGGGCATTACATTTAGCTCTACGATAAAAAAGCGGATCCAGTCGCCGCACTTAATCCCTTTTTCAATGTTGGTGAGAAATGGAAAACAATACGGTCCGACATAATGAGTGGTCTAACTCACCACAAGGTTTAGTATCAATAAGTAAATAGTACCATAAACCATAGATTACATATCTTTTGTCTCTCGCAGCTCTTCTCAGCATATACGATATGGAAGACTTGCACTGAAAAGCTTGGAAAACTCTTAAGCGCACAGACAGCAAAAGGCAGCTCTATAATCGAAACCAAGGATGTAAATATTCGAATACATATCAAACATATATAACGTTGCTACTTTTTCTAATATTAATTTTGAATCTCTTGCAGCTTGTATTACGCTATACATCCAATATAATGGGTGAGTTCCTCTGGGGCATTGAAACGAAAACGCTTGAAAATCTCGATGAGCCAAATCATTATCTGGAAGTCTCGCATAGGCTAATTCACCAAGTGTTTCACGGTTTTATGAGCTACTACAAATGCTTACCCTTCCCTTGGTGCCGACGTTTCGCTAACTATCGAATCTTCACTGCCGAAAGTGACCAGATGTTTTCACAGTTCACAAAAGATGCATACGTGTTGCGTGAGAGAGATGCGAGCAAAGCGAATCAAGCTGATTTTTTGCACTACGTGCGCCAGTTGCAGGAAAAGAACAGCCTTTCCCATTATGAAGTGGTAGGCTATCTGTTGGCCGTTTTCACCGATGGTTTCGACACATCAGGAACGGTTGCTTTTCACACGCTCTTCTACGTAAGTCAAATTACACTTAAACTTTCATAAGTTATTTACTAAAACAGCTTTATGATCTCAGTTGACACATCATCCGGAGTATCAAGAAAAACTACGTAAAGAAATTCTAAGCAATCTCGAAGCCGACGGCAATATTAATTTTCACACTTTGAATGTGCTACCATATTTGGATCAATGTGTGCACGGTGAGGTCTCATAGTTAACATAACAATGCAAAGAATTTCTTAATTTTACTTCCTTTCTAGAAACCTTACGTATGATAAGTCCAATTACGTTTAAGTCGCGTCTCTGCACAGAATCCACCGAGATAGTATTGGACGATGGACGTCGCATACCCATCAAGAAGGGTCAAGTAGTAACCATTCCCGTGTTCAGTTATTTACATGACGCCGAGTACTTTGAAGATCCTTTGGAATTCAGACCGGAGCGTTTCGAAAATGTTGATATTTCGGAGCTAACGAAGAGGGGTATCTTTCTCCCGTTTAGCGATGGACCACGAATGTGCTTGGGTAAATTCAAGAAACACTAACAATAATGTAAGTAACTAAAATAAAATGGTATTTCAGGTCGCCATTTGGGTTTTCTGCAAATAAAAACAGCTATTGTCGAAGTACTCAAGAATTATCGGTTGAAAGTCTGCGACAAAACTCCGCCGATAGCGAAGCTCGACTCATATGCGCTTATTAACGGAGTGGATGGCGATTTATTTATCGAATATGAGAGGTTATAAGCAGTGAAAGTTTCTTATTATTAGTATTTTGAAAGTAATATCGAGGCTAATGTTTCTCTCTAAGCTCTGCGAATATGTATATCTGATATATGGAATGAGTATTTCGATTTGTAAAGTTATGCTAGTTTACAAATAGTTCTTAAATATCGAAAAAGTATGAACCAATGTAAAATTGTTAAAATATATGAGTATTATAGTTTCAACATCGCCAGCTCCATATAATAGGTAATAATGGGTCAAGTAATAATTTAAGCTCTTAGTAAACGAAGTGGTTTTAAGCTGATCTTTAGTATTATTATTATATTTTCATTCTTTCAGAAAAAATAAATGTGAGAGCTTTATATATGTATATACTAATAAACGTACAATGGTTAAGTATTACTACTAAACATATGGATTTAAATCTTATATAGAGTGGTTTTTTATGGATATGATACGAGTTCAATTATAAGCAGCGAGCACCTGGAAGGTTGACGAAGACCGATTTAAAGAAAATGTTAAAGGAAACACTTAGACTAGATATGATTGGTAACAGCAAGTTGAATTATTTTTCACTCGATAAGTGGGGCGATGCTTGACAAATTAACTTCTTAGAAATGGCTTTATTTCAATGACATTTGTAAGAACACTTGAGAGAGACTGTTGGACTCTAATAAGTAGAAGCGCAAGTATAGTTCATGAAAAAATTAAACTATCATATCCTAAAGGATGATGTTAATAGAGGTACTTTTTTCATTCATCTTTTTTTGACAGATCACGTTTATGCTGTGCCATCTTGAGACCCAGCGTTCATTATTGGCAGTGAAGAAAATATGTCAGCCGTAACTGAGAGTGTACACGAAGAATGGAATGACTTGGAGCAAATTAAAAACGCAGAAAATACAGATTTTGCAAAAACTAAAGGCGCACAACCTTCGCAAGCGACTTCTCTTCACTCCATGGGTTCTGGAAAAGTTCCAAGAAGATCAAACGTTTTCGAACTAAATTTTATTCAGCGCAGGGGCCCATTTTGGCTCAATTGGTATGCAAATTGGTAGCAAAATTACAGAATTTTGAACGAAGAGCAAAAACTACGGTTTGATGTGATTTGTAGGCTGGTGAAATTATCGGTCCATACGGTGAGAACTTATAAGTCAATGGCGAACGTTTTGTGACATGATAACCGACTATTTGATGCCTGAAATTGAAGCTCGTGATCTAGGTGACACTTGGTTTCAACAAGATGGTGCCACTTCCCACACATCGCATTATTCAATGGATTAATCGAGAAAACACTTCGGTGAGCAGATAATTTCAYATTTTGGTCCGGTCGAGTGGCCACCAAAATCATATGATATCACACCGTTAGACTTCCCCTTGGGCGAGTATGTAAATTCTATAGTCTAAGCGGACAATCCCGTTTCTATTCAGACCTTGGAGCAAACAATTACGCGTTTCATTCGCTAGCTACCAGTCGAATTGCTCGAACGATTCATCGAAAATTTGACTCAAGGTATGGATCATCTGAGACTTAGCCATGTCCAACATTTGAATGAAATAGTCTTCAAAAAATAAATTCCAAAGGTTTTTTTTTCGAATGTTAATATATATTCTCCACTAAGTTTGAAGTTTCAGTGTTTTTTATTTTAAAAAGTAGGGAACTACTTTTTCATTTCATTTCCCAAAGTAATTCGTTTAATCTCACAAAATCTCCTTGTATAAAAAATCATCAATCAATTCACGTTAGAGAGGTTCCGTTATGTAAAATACAACAGCTCTTAGTTAATAAGTTTTCCTTTGAATGCCGAGCCGTTTTGACGAAGTCTCTTATCATACTATCTGCAGAAATCGTCATATTACCCTAAAACTTGCATCAATTTGATACAGATTTGAGCGCACAAAGAAAATATTATCAAATCGATGTCGCAGCGTAGCATTACAACGTTGAATGTTGAACAATCAGTGCCGCAAGACCGCCATGAATTTAGTGTGTCGCTCGAAAACGTGTGACATGGCAGTCAATGTGTTAAGACGGATCAAATAAAAAGCTTCGAGTTAGATTTACAGATATGAATCTAACTGATAAGGTACTAATTATAGTTGTTTGCTTTTCTCTCGAAATGATGTCAATTATCAAGATACTATAGAACTATATTTTTTATACAAACAATATATTTGAATGGTTTGTTTACTTAGTTATTAAAATGTAGTTATTTGGCATAATAACTGCTAATATGTCTTTAATATATTAAGCCGCGATTTGTTTATGTTAGAATAAGAGGCGGTATTTCTTATACCCAGACTATTCTATTAGAAGTAGGTTTAAATGCAGGCAGCAGTAAAATTTAAACTGGTAAGTCGAAAACACCTTCTACGTAGCAATCTAGCCGGTGTTTACAAACCGAATTAAAATCTATGAAGTTTTCTAAGTTTGCTCAAAACTGATAAGGGTAAGTCGAAGGGTGATAAAAGCAAGTTAACTATATTTTGTTGCTGCTGCTTCACATGTAAAATTATTCAAAATATAAATATTTCTTAACTGATATAGGTTTATGAAATGATAAGCAATTGTACTCTGGCAAACTTCATTTAGTCGAAACATTAGAGCATCTCATATTTTCAGTGCCTTTCATATACATATGTATGCATGCATTCAAATCAAGCGAGGCAAAACACCTCGCTCTGTCATTATCCGACGGGCTCTCGCACTCTAGCTGTCTACGTTTATTTGTGTATTGTGAATTTTAAAATTATATAAACAAATGTAATAAATAGTATGTTAGAAAAAAATATTATAAATGCAGCACACGTTCACAAATATTATTAACATACTGATATATGTACATATGTAAATTAAAATCACGTCAATGAAACCGAGACAAGCGACAAAGGTATTCATAACATAATCGCGAAACAAACTGTGCTTAACTCAAGGTTATCTCATAAAGAGAGATTGATTAATTTGCACATACCAGCCACTGATAACAATAGAAAGAGATTCACTCACACTTTTCAACCATTAAATATTTAAAAGCGCTCTATATGCTTACTACATGAGAGCCAACGAAAAGTGATATTAATAAAGAAGGTTTGCTGCATTGGATACTACACAGTAAATGCACCACGCCAATTACCTTTAATGAATACTTAAGTGGGGACAATGATTCTGCAATTTATACTTCGCAATGCTAAATAAAAATTACAGTGCACAGTTTCGAAATGGTGCCGCTACTCGTTACATTAGCTTTGCTCGCCGCTGTCGGATTTCTGATACACAAATATCTGACATGGCACTACGATACATTCAAAAAATTGGGCATAACCGGCCCAGAACCGAAAATATGGCTTGGAAATTTAACCGGCAAACAGCATATAGCTTACGATTATGATGACATATATAAGTGAGTACGAACACCTGTATTTTATTTTGACTTGAGATATAGTTGAGCAAGAAAACAACTTCTATGAGACTTGGGTTACAAAAAAAAATGTAAAGCATTGTTAAATGTTTACTACTAAGTATCATATGGATATGTAACCAAATGGTCAAACTCACTGGTTTCCAAATATTTTTTTTATATATCTATAATATTACATTCATATAAAATATTTCACGACTGGTGAAGGCGTTTGAACCGACCCAAGAAAGTTTCAGGATCTCAAAAGACTTACAGACCTGTTACGAAAATCTCTATATTTATAGTACTAAAATCAGTCCGTTTCTCTTTTAGCAAATACAAGAAAAAACATCAGATTGTTGGCATTTTTGTTTCCAGAGAACCTCAGTTCTTAATACTAGATCCTAAATTGGCGCATGAAGTGTTAGTTACGAATTTCAAGAGCTTCAGGGACAATTTAGGCAGCAAATTCGTAAGTACGCCCAGAACTCTTCATTAAGAACAAATGTATAAAGAAAACCGAAATTGTTTAATTTTCCCATAATTTAGCTCTACGACAGAGAAGAGGATACGGTCGCCGCACTCAATCCTTTTTTCAATGTTGGTGAGGAATGGAAGACAAAACGCTCAGACGTAATGAGTGGACTTACACAACACAAGGCAATATATTTAAAATAATATGTGTTAACTAACTAATTATATACATAAATCTCCCAAAGCTTAGCTTAGCGTATCCGATTTGGAAGACTTGTACTCAAAAGCTTGGAAAACTCTTAAATACAGAGACAGTAAAAGGCAGCTCGATAATTGAAACCAAGAATGTAAATCTTTGAATGTATGCCGTTGTTTTTTACTAATTTCAATATTTCCTCCCTTACAGCTTCTATTGCGCTATACATCCAACATAATGGGCGAGTTCCTCTGGGGCATTGAAACGAAAACGCTGGAAAATCTCGACGAACCGAACCCTTACCTGGAAGTATCACAAAGAAATATGCTACAAGTGTTTAAAGGTTTTTTGAGTTACTACAAATGCTTAAACTTCCCTTGGTACCGACGTTTCGATAGTCATCGAATTTTCACTACCGAAAGTGACCAGCTGTTTTCGCAGTTCACAAAAGACGCATACGCGTTACGTGAGAGAGATGCGAGCAAAAAGAATCAAGCTGACTTCTTGAACTACTTGCGCCAACTGCAGGAAAAGAAGAATCTGACCCATAATGAAGTGGTAGGCTACTTGGCGACCGTCTTTGTCGATGGTTTTGACACAGCAGCAACGGTTGCTTTTCACACGCTCTTCTACGTGAGTCAAATTACACTTAAACTTTCATAATTTACTTACTAAAACAGCTTTTTGATCTCAGTTGACACATCATCCGCAATATCAGGAGAAACTACGTAAAGAAATTCTGAGCAATCTCGAGGCCGACGGCCATATTAATTATCAGGCTTTGTCCCTGCTTCCATATTTGGACAAATGTGTGCACGGTGAGACCACATAATTTGTACTTCAATGCATACAATCTCTCAAATTGACTTTGTGTTTAGAAACCTTACGTATGATAAGTCCCCTTACGTTTACTTCGCGCATCTGTACAGAACCTACCGAATTTGTATTGGACGACGGACGTCGCGTTCCCATTGAAAAGGGGCAGGTCGCAACTGTGCCCGTATTAAGTTATTTGCATGACCCTGAGTACTTCGAAGATCCGATGGAATTCAAGCCGGATCGTTTCGACAATGTTGATATTTCGGAGCTAACAAAGAGGGGCATTTTCCTTCCATTTGGCGATGGACCACGAATTTGTTTAGGTAATTTTTAAAAATACTAAAATAGTATAACGATTTAAAGAAATAAAATGTATATGCCATTTCAGGGCGTCATTTGGGGGTTCTGCAAGTTAAAACAGCTATCGTCGAAGTACTCAA